CATCATCTGGCAGAATGGTTCTCTGTATTTATCGGTAATAAGGTTAACGTTGGAAGCAATAGGCTTTAAGAAGTTGATAACGTGATCAATGGAAGCAGGCATATACTTCCATGGTTTAAGGCTGATCTGTATTACCTTAAGCGATGCACCTGCGACGATATCAGATTGATATGCGTTTAAAAAGTAGGTATAAATCAAAGAACTGTGAGAGCCGATCGCAGATAAAAATGACTTAAACGTTTTTTGAACGAATGTTGTATAAATATCAAAGTCATTACCGAAAATTATTGTTGATTGGGAAATAATTTGACGTCCGAGCATTTCATCTGCAACTTCTTCACCAGGAGAAATTGGACGACTGTTAATGCATGAAGCAGCAAGAGTATAATAAATACAAAGTCGATTTATAACAGGGAACGGAAGTCCGCTTGTTTTCTTTTTCAAAATGCCATCGTAGTATTAAATATAAGCTTCAGAGCACCGATAATACGATTTGCACTGAAACGGTGCATCAAAATTAATTCTTTCTTTGCAAATTTATCGAGAAATCGATGTGGAGCATATACTTTGGATTCGATAGCTTCATAGGCGGTAACTGGATGGTCATTTATAACCTTTTCTATTTTCGTTGTAAGTTGCTGGAACAAGTTAGGTTCCGAACTTTCCGCCATAAGTTATGAAATTTTTTGAAGCGGTTTATGATAACTTTCATATAAAATTGATTGGGGATAACAGTAAATTGAGTATTAATTATATAATGCGGGAAACGAAATATTTCAAGCTAATTTCAAAAATACATTAAAAGTGTCAAAAAAAATAAGCGGATAGAAATTGGATAATTAGAACGTCATGTTTATGTTAAGCATTAATAGAATTATCTGTCGAGAACGGTTTTTGTTATAGACCGAAAATAGATTTTTTCGGTTTTCTCTTCTGTTATAGACCGAAAATAGATTTTTTCGGTTTTCTCTTCAAATAATTGAAAGAATGATACTATTATATGTTTATTATATTATATAGCATATAATCATGCTATAGCCGAAAATTATAAGTTTTGAGAAGATTGAATATAACACAAATAAATTTGAATGTAAGTTAAATTGCTTGTTGTTTTTAATAGCTATTTAATGAGAAATCCAATATTGCAAAATTCAAATTGAATGATTGAAAGAACAGAAAAAGTCATTCTTTTCAATTTCGAATATGTTTCATTGTATTTATAATTATATGGCAAATAAGATATTTAAACTTGATTTTTGAAGGAAAATTCACAAAATTGAATAAATTCAAATAATTTTTATTCAAAAATAAACTAGTTATTTGAGTTTAATACTAATTATCTATTCAAACTACAAAGTTTGTAATTTAAAATATTTTGTGAGATCAGATTGAATTAATTCAAGGTTCTTTTCAATTAATATTAATGACCATATTACGCATTTTCGAACATTCTAAACCAAATATATAAAAATGGGAGACGAATGTTAAATTTGCTAGACATGGGGGAGTTGTCTGCAAAGTTTTAGCTCTTATCTCTAACAAAAAATTAATTTTTAAAAAAATGACCGAATACGTTTCACAGCGAGAAAAAAATAAAAGGCAAGATAGAATTTTCTAGACATAAAGAAGTTGTTTACCGAGTTTTAGCTCTTATCTCTAACAAAAAATTAATTTTTAAAAAAATGACCGAATACGTTTCACAGCGAGAAAAAAATAAAAGGCAAGATAGAATTTTCTAGACATAAAGAAGTTGTCCACCAAGTGTCAGCTGTTACTTCTTCTCAATACTGATATAAAATAAAAATCTTTATTATTTATTTAACCTTTATTGTTTCATTAAACTTCATTTATTTTATATTATAGTTTTATTCTTTTAGCTACTTGTAAAATAATCTAATTTTATATCATCATTTTACCGGATTATTCTTCAGTACATCGATTGTGTATCTAAAATAATATCATTATCCTTATTCTGTTTTTTCCAAAATTCTTTTAAATATCTTTTTTGGTTACATTACTTTATACTTTTACTTTTATTTTTTAATTTCAAAAAAAATTTGGTGATTGTTCTATTCTGTTACAATGTGCATTATCATATTCTAATGAATTATTCATTACATACATTTAAAAAACTTGTTAAAAATGAAATTAAAAAATTATGTTTATTATTACGCTGTGAATGTGTCAACAGCGGTCATGCCTGTATCTGTATCCCATATTTGCCACAACCTTTCTGTATCTGCATTTGTGTATTTCGGTTTCAGCTGATACATTTGATTTGGCGTGTAATTTGTTCCAGTTAATGGATTAATTGGGAGATCTTCATGCGGTGTGTTATTATTGTACTCCCAAATAAAGGCAGGAATAGCCTGAATGCTTTGGCAGCGCTCCAATGTCGGCCAGAATCTCTCAATCTTCCCATTTTGGTAGGGAGAATGAGAGTCTGTATGCCGCCATTGGACGCCCCAAAGATCAAGTAGATCTTGAAAGGCGCCCCTATTTTCTGAACCGTTGTCGGTCCAGAAACAATAAGGGGCGCCAAATTCAATGAAGGCGGAAGCCGCAAAGTTCGCTGTCGTCGCTGCCAGCATATCTGGTATTTGTATACACGCTAGGACTTTGCGGCTAAAATCGTCGATTATGCCATAAATATACTGGCCACGAACACCACTAAAATAATGAACATCTGCGTGCCAGATAAGATTGGGTGAAAGCGCCCAATATCTTACTGCTGTTTCTGGCCCGGCATGCTCTAATCGCGTCTTGGTGAAATGATTTTCTTTGAAGTATCTGCGTACTTCTCTATAAGATACATCAATTTGGTGTAATTTCAAACTTTTCCATTGTTTTGTTTGACCACAGGGAAAGGCCCAGTGGTCATGTATCACAGCAAGAGCTTTGATTTGGTCGTAGGGATTGACCCTACGACCTTTCTTGCCTTTAGGCAATGGGATATTCTGTAAGCTAAATTGATTTTGTAAAAAAGATTTTGAAACATCTAAATATTTGAAATCATTTGATTGAAGGGTTGGGGCGATGGGAACATGGGTGCAAGCTTCTTCCCATGTCATTTTACCTTCTTCAATCTGATTGGAAATACCAATTAGGTAAATTCGATCGACATACCCTTTGTAAGGATTCATTCTAATGAAGTACGTTAACAATCAAAATATTCTATAAGTGTCTAGTATGGAATTCAAAAGAATAAAGAAAATGATAAGGTAAATAAACGTATTATGAAATAATTTATAATTAAAATCAAAAAAAGAAAAAATAATAAGTAAAGTGACTGGAAATGAAAATGAAAATCAGTGTACAGTTTTATTTTTTTCTCGCTGTGAAACGTATTCGGTCATTTTTTTAAAAATTAATTTTTTGTTAGAGATAAGAGCTAAAACTCGGTAAACAACTTCTTTATGTCTAGAAAATTCTATCTTGCCTTTTATTTTTTTCTCGCTGTGAAACGTATTCGGTCATTTTTTTAAAAATTAATTTTTTGTTAGAGATAAGAGCTAAAACTTTGCAGACAACTCCCCCATGTCTAGCAAATTTAACATTCGTCTCCCATTTTTATATATTTGGTTTAGAATGTTCGAAAATGCGTAATATGGTCATTAATATTATTGAAAAGAACCTTGAATTAATTCAATCTGATCTCACAAAATATTTTAAATTACAAACTTTGTAGTTTGAATAGATAATTAGTATTAAACTCAAATAACTAGTTTATTTTTGAATAAAAATTATTTGAATTTATTCAATTTTGTGAATTTTCCTTCAAAAATCAAGTTTAAATATCTTATTTGCCATATAATTATAAATACAATGAAACATATTCGAAATTGAAAAGAATGACTTTTTCTGTTCTTTCAATCATTCAATTTGAATTTTGCAATATTGGATTTCTCATTAAATAGCTATTAAAAACAACAAGCAATTTAACTTACATTCAAATTTATTTGTGTTATATTCAATCTTCTCAAAACTTATAATTTTCGGCTATAGCATGATTATATGCTATATAATATAATAAACATATAATAGTATCATTCTTTCAATTATTTGAAGAGAAAACCGAAAAAATCTATTTTCGGTCTATAACACCATAAACTACGTAGTGAAGTTGAAGAGTGAAAGGGTCTCCTAAATAGTCATGTGATTTTATCCCAAGCATATGGGGATTCTAAATTTTTGTCCCTATCGTTATCCCAATTGAATTTTTTTTTGGAATTTAAAAATTTTTTTTCTCCATGTAAACTTAAATTTTAATTTTTACCACTAAAATGCAATATTTCAACAAATTAATGAGTAATAATATTTTAATTTATAATAATTATTATAAATCTCCTCAATTTAATGTAATTATTGTATTAATTTTTGTTGAAAATATAAAATCTTCAAGTAAATGATGTGAATTTAATATTTTTAGAATGTTGTTTAATTGTACTATATTATGCATGTAAAATTTTGTTACAATACATTTTATATGGGATCCCCATTGCCCAATTGAGAGAAAATTGAGAGGTGGGATTGGGCTAGCCCAATTCAAAATATCCCAGGTGGAAATAAAAAAATTAACAATTCAACATAAAAAAGCATCTTAAATAATAATGATAAAAAGAAATTTTGTATGAATTTCAATCAAATTTGTTTTTATTCAACTTAAGAAATCACTTCATTAATGAAAGAAGTCGGGTTCACAACATATCCCGATCTTGAAACGAAACAACATGTTTTTTTGATGCCCTAAACGGGGGGGGGGTCGCCAGCAAAAAAAAGATGTCAAAATTTATCCCAAAAATTTAAAAAAAATCGAAGAAAGTGCATCCCAGGGATTATAAAATTTAAGTTTTCACATCTCTACTCCTAAATATCCACTTATATTTTAGCATATTCTTGAAGATATCAAAAATTAAAATGCTTTCTATTTATTAAAATTCCAAACTTAATTTTTAAAATTATATATTTATAAATAAAATAAAAAATAAAGATAAAAAGAATTAGATAAATACGTTGTAAACTAAATGATCAGCTTGTTCTTTGGAAATAATCACATTATCCATCTCGAAGAACAGAGAGTTCAATATCGATGTTAACTGGTATTCTTCGTTCTTGATTCTTGAGTTCCTAAGAAGTAAACCCGTGAATCGAGCATCATTGACAACTTCGAAGATTTGTTTGCCAAACTTGTTTCCGATGGCATCGAAACATCCTAATCCATTCGGTTGTTCCGTGAACAAGTTAATAGCAAATTCGATAAGAACTTGTGGAGCACCGACCTTCAAGAAAACAAGAAGAATTGCAGAGAGATTGACTAAATTAGCACCGTAATCAAGGCGTGAGATTTCTTCGGATTTAGATGGTTCTTTGATAACTCTGAATGCCGAAATGATCTGTTCATCTGACTTAGTTGTTGCAAGTTTCTCTAATGCTTGTGTCAAGCCGTACTTAGCGTAACATGCCAAGATAGCTGCAGCAGACAGACTTGGTTGTTGTTGCAATGGAAGTGCTGTACATGTCTCGAGATATTCAACAAGAGAACTGTTGATGTATTGTGTAATTCCTTGTGTTGTTCCTTGGTGATCTGAATATTGTTTCAGAGCAGAAACAACTAAATCTCCACATGCTGCGTTGTTGTCTCGAGCACCTAATGCGATGCCAATGAAATACAACTTGGCAGATAATTCAATAGTCATGTTGATCAAACTCAATCCTAAAATGATTGGAGTGACTAAGATTTCTTCGCAATCACGAAGTTTCTGGACTAAGTCATTTGCATAGGAACTTGGATCAACTGCAAATGCTGCTGAATAAATAATTCCTTGTGCACAAAGTAATGGAGTGTCACGTTTTTTGATATCATTTGAAAACATGTCAAACAACTTTCTTTTGATTGAACTGTTCTGGAGATTGTTGATAGCAGCGGATATGATTTCTGCAACACATCTAGCGGACGATGTCCACTTGTAGGTGTCTTTCAATGTCTTGAAATCTTCACTGCCATCTGTGTTGACAAATGACTGGATGATGAAATCAAAATCAAACTGAATTCCGCTTCCTGACTGACGGAATAATTCGTGGATGATGTTCATTAATATCGGTGACATCTTCTGGAGAATGGATGTATCAAAGATAAGCCTGGACTTGGTGCAGTTGTATATCAAAACCGCTCCTGTGCTCTCAAAATCAAACATGTGAAGTGAAATCATCGAAGTCAAAACTCCTCTCAAAAAGTCAATATGATCTTTATCGTTGTTGTCAAGAATTTCTGTGAATTTCCTGCAGACAGATTGAGAAACGAAAGAAGGTTTAATTGCTGCCAACTGTGCAGGGATCTCTACAAATGTTGATTCGTTCCTTTCGAAGATGATATCGACGAGAGTTTCGATGATAAAATCGTTTTGACAAAGGGATGGCCAGACATACTCAGGATAGCAGACTTGGTCTGATCCCTTCATGTTGTTGTACATTTCGATGAACTCAGAAATCAAATTCTTCGGAGGATCAGACTGGTTTGCGAAACATTTGATCCATGGAACTAAGAAATAGAAAATTGTTGGCAAAACTTTTGATTTCACGTATTTCGCGGCGTTGAAGAACTCCGACATGAAATCATTGACATTCTCCGCATTGCATGATGCCAAATCTGTTGATATCTCTCTGACATATTTTGACAGATTATTTGGCAAAATGTCATATTGAATTTTGTCAACAGAAACATTGTGAGAAAACTGGAAAGACACGAACACAGCGTAGATCAAATCAAGAGCAGCCTTCTTCAAAGAAAGAGATGATTCAGGACCAATGATATTGATGAATGCTAAGTTAAGCATCATCCATTGCAATGTAGATGAGTTTACATTAACACTTTGAATTGCATTGTTGATTGTTCTCGATCTAAGTGTTAATTGGTAAGCAGCATCATACATTGGAGAACTGACAGGAACTCTCATGGAATAGACAATACCACTCTTCATAGTAATGGTAAGATTGAACTCATCCATGTGCTGTTTGCTTCCCAAAGATTTTTCAAAGTCTTTAATTTGGTCGGCCATTATAACTCTTACGGGCGTGAATGGATGTCCTGCAATTTCTACATTGTCTCCGATGATTTGGAGAGAGTGTTCGTGGAGTCTTATTTTTGTTGGATCTCCATTTAACACTACGGAATAAACAGCCTGTGCTTCAGAGAATGACTCGTAAGTTGAAGGAGGAATAGATGTCGGTGTGTTTCCTAATATTCTAGTGAGTTTTGCAACGGAATCAATCACTTCAAATCTCTGTGGTTTTGTGAATAACTGCTGATTCTCTTTGACGAAAACAGCAAATTCGTTTGGAGGTTCAATAATCAAGTACTGTTTGATGTTCTGTGTCGAAGGAGGCATTATTGCGTATGTCTGCAACATTGTCTGATTAGGAATACGACTTGGATCGAATCCTGTCAAACACAAACATACATAACACTGTTGTGATTCGTCTTTTCTCAGTGCTTTGAACAGTAACTGCGCAACAATTCTTGGATCTCTAACTGACGAAAGTTTGTTGAAATGAATGTAAATGACGCCATTTCCATCTGGAGCTGTTTTCTCGTCCTTGTAAATGGCTTCTTCAAGTTGCTGGACTTGGTCGGGTGGAAATGTCATGTTCATGAGCTCTTCGTAGCCAGATGCGCCGGCTTCATCTGATTTGAACATCTTCTTAGCAGCATTCGATGGCTGGCCCATGGCTCTGATCTTTGTGATGAATCTCTTTGCGTTCGCGTGGTCGTCGCTCGCTGGATCGAGAGATTCGATTAATGGAGTTAAGTTTTTGAGAATTGGATAAACTTCGGAGTGGATATTAGCGATTGTTTGGGCTGCATCGATGGTAATTGGTGGTGGTTCGTGGGAAACTTGCTTCTGAACGAGACCTCGGAACATTTGATTGATGGAATCTTGTGTCCACTTGGCGAGATCGTTGTAAGGAGCAAGATAAGTGTATTTGTCATCAAGTCTGCCCTTGAGAATTGAAGACATGATGACATTTGAAGTTTGCATGAGAACATCTCTTGGTTGATCGCCAACTGGTGAGGTAATTCCAACCATTGAGACATTGGAGAAGGATGGGATGATGAAACGAAGGAAGAGGAAGGAAGATAAGATTGAATAAGCAAATTCTCCGACTTTTTCAAACACCTTTTCGAAGATGATCTGTGAGGCGTAGGTTAATGAGTCTGGCATGGTTGTCTGGCCATCCAAAATGGCTTGGACCGTTTTCTGAAGTAATTGTCTGAAATTCTCGGTGTTGACCTCTATCGTCTGGCCTTCAGGGAGCTTTGCCGGGTTCACAATGAAGCCAACATTGTTTTCGCACGATGCAATCACTTCATCGAAAATTGGTCGCAAGGTTTGTTTCAGCCAATCCATGGCAACGAACCTCGGCCAGTGACCTACGGCTCTCGCTGGTACTTGGTTGCCTCTGAAAATGGTGTTCTTGTTCGAATCATCGATAGGTTGTAATTCGACATCGACCATTCGGGCAAAGTATTCGTACGCGCGGCCTGAGAGAAGGGCGGCTTCGAGGGCGGCCTTAGCGAAATGCTCGGCTCTGGAGTATTCGATGTTATTTCCGATAATTTCGATTAATTTCAACGAACCAGAGAAGAGAATATCTACGAGAGTGACTTCTTCTGTGACTGCTTCTGCTGTTCCGACGACTCTTATCTCTGGAACTTTGAAAACTGCAGCAACTGATGCAAGAAATGCAGTTCTAACTGAATCGGTGTTATCAAAACCCATAGAGAGACAGTGTCCGATAGCGATGGAAAGGTTCTGCTTGAGAAGGGCAGCGAGAACTGGAATAATTTGTTTGGCAGAATTTGGTTCTTTCTCCAAACGGTTCTTGATACTTGCGAAATAGAACAAGAACTGCTTTTCTGCCTCTTGGGCAGCACCTTTCGGATCTGCGATATCAACGCACTCAATAAGGGAAAGTTCATCGAGGATAAGGGCCAAAGCTTCATGAATTAAGTTGATGAAGTCTCTGGTACCTTCGTTAGATTGCGGAAGCCATGTTAAAATGGTCTTTGAAATAGAATGGCCCATCTTTGGTTCGAAAGGCTTTCCTTTCTCGTTAGCGAGCCTGACCATGGCGAGTAATGTCCTCAAACAGATCAATTTTGTGGATTCTCCCTGAGTAACATCGCATAATGAGACAATCTTCTTTCCTAGCTGGCCAAAGATACCCTGGTTGATCATTTCCGGTGTCCAGTAGATGATCTGTGAGCAAACACCACGAATAAGGTTAAGAATATTGTTCAAGAAAATAATATTTTTCTGATTCATGTTGAAAGTACCATCGTTATTTGAGAATTGTCTGAAATATCCCAAAAGGATGGTCATCAGAGGGTTGTAGTGACGTGGAGCCAGGCATGTCGGAATTGCAGACGTTGCAATTTGTCCGATATCGCTATCGTTCTGTAGAAATACCTTCATTTGGTTGAACAAGTGAATTGTTTGGTCAAAAACGATAGAAAAGATCATCGAAATTACAGAAATGAATTCTGCGTCCAAATCAAAGCCTGTAGTATCTAATTCGAGTTCAGGAGGCTGTACTAATGTAATATTCGCATCGAGTTTCTTGCAAATTGCCATGAAATAGCTGAAAAGTGCGTTATACACCAAATTAATACCAGGAGTTGGGTTTGGAACGGTCTTGAGGATGTTGCAGACACCGATTGGTATCTTCTTTGGATCCTTCTTATCACGAGCGTCCGAAACCAAACGTTGATAATCATCAACTGGCATTTTCGAGGAAAGTAAATCGGGAGCGACGTGTACGATTTCGACGAGTGTATACATCATGCTAATACCGATCGAAATGATGTTCCTCTTTGAAGAAGCGAAGAACATTAAAGCAAATGTTTCCAATTCTTGCAAAAGAGGCAAAAGAAGCTTAGCAAGCTGTTCTGTAATATTCGCTTCCTGTTGGAAGATTTGAAGTAACGATTCGGATATAGCGTGGATGATTTCTGGTATGTGCATATCGAAATAAGCAGGTTTATACATGCCCAATGTAGTATAGCGTTTGAGTAAGAACGAAATGAATCTCTTGTAGATGAGGAGTGTAACCTCGTCGAGTACTGATTCCTGTGTAAATTCTGTATTGAAAAATGCGACGTAAGAAAATTGTTGGTTGACCTCTGGATACTTGGCCACGTAAGAGAATAATATCTCACAGATGTCAGGATCCGAGAAAATGGCGGTTCTCATGAAGAAAGGATAAGCTTGGAAGCCTGTGATGATATGTGGGAGTAATGAAGTGGATTTCGGATCGGGGATTGGTTTTCTGATAATCTCCAAGGTCTGCGGGATAAGGCTTTGTATGAAACCTTTCGAGAAATCAGGGAATGGATTGGCCGTCTTACAAAACCTCTTAATTATGAGAGCCATTGTAAGAGAATGGTTGTTATCATGCTGTGTGATATATTGGATGACATCTTTTGTGAAGAACTGTGGGTTATTGAAGAGAATTGCGATTGGGAAGAAAATCTTCTGAACTTTAGCGAAATCTCCGGGTTGATCCGGTAAACTTGTGAAGTTATTCTTCACGAAGTTGGGGAATTGGAGATGTAAGAAGCGTAAAATGATTTTATGAGCTGATGAAACTGCAAATGCATGGAAATAGACTAAAATAGACTGTATTGTAGCGTTGGATAATTTTGATTCTTTCTGGGCATAGAAATCTTTGTATCTTTGGATGAAATCTAAGCGAGGAATTGTTTCTCCGGAAGAAAGTTGAGAGTTTGGAAGAAGAATGGAAAGAGCTGCAATTGCTGGCCATGCAAAGGGATTATTTGAGGTATTCCATGAGGAAATCTGGCCTTGAATTGAAGCCGCCAACATAATATCACTTCTGAGTGTAAGGAAATCGGAAAATGCGACTGGATCGCGCTGGAAGGCAGCAAGTAATGTCGATGCCATCATCTGGCAGAATGGTTCTCTGTATTTATCGGTAATAAGGTTAACGTTGGAAGCAATAGGCTTTAAGAAGTTGATAACGTGATCAATGGAAGCAGGCATATACTTCCATGGTTTAAGGCTGATCTGTATTACCTTAAGCGATGCACCTGCGACGATATCAGATTGATATGCGTTTAAAAAGTAGGTATAAATCAAAGAACTGTGAGAGCCGATCGCAGATAAAAATGACTTAAACGTTTTTTGAACGAATGTTGTATAAATATCAAAGTCATTACCGAAAATTATTGTTGATTGGGAAATAATTTGACGTCCGAGCATTTCATCTGCAACTTCTTCACCAGGAGAAATTGGACGACTGTTAATGCATGAAGCAGCAAGAGTATAATAAATACAAAGTCGATTTATAACAGGGAACGGAAGTCCGCTTGTTTTCTTTTTCAAAATGCCATCGGTAGTATTAAATATAAGCTTCAGAGCACCGATAATACGATTTGCACTGAAACGGTGCATCAAAATTAATTCTTTCTTTGCAAATTTATCGAGAAATCGATGTGGAGCATATACTTTGGATTCGATAGCTTCATAGGCGGTAACTGGATGGTCATTTATAACCTTTTCTATTTTCGTTGTAAGTTGCTGGAACAAGTTAGGTTCCGAACTTTCCGCCATAAGTTATGAAATTTTTTGAAGCGGTTTATGATAACTTTCATATAAAATTGATTGGGGATAACAGTAAATTGAGTATTAATTATATAATGCGGGAAACGAAATATTTCAAGCTAATTTCAAAAATACATTAAAAGTGTCAAAAAAAATAAGCGGATAGAAATTGGATAATTAGAACGTCATGTTTATGTTAAGCATTAATAGAATTATCTGTCGAGAACGGTTTTTGTTATAGACCGAAAATAGATTTTTTCGGTTTTCTCTTCTGTTATAGACCGAAAATAGATTTTTTCGGTTTTCTCTTCAAATAATTGAAAGAATGATACTATTATATGTTTATTATATTATATAGCATATAATCATGCTATAGCCGAAAATTATAAGTTTTGAGAAGATTGAATATAACACAAATAAATTTGAATGTAAGTTAAATTGCTTGTTGTTTTTCATAGCTATTTAATTAGAAATCCAATATTGCAAAATTCAAATTGAATGATTGAAAGAACAGAAAAAGTCATTCTTTTCAATTTCGAATATGTTTCATTGTATTTATAATTATATGGCAAATAAGATATTTAAACTTGATTTTTGAAGGAAAATTCACAAAATTGAATAAATTCAAATAATTTTTATTCAAAAAATAAACTAGTTATTTGAGTTTAATACTAATTATCTATTCAAACTACAAAGTTTGTAATTTAAAATATTTTGTGAGATCAGATTGAATTAATTCAAGGTTCTTTTCAATTAATATTAATGACCATATTACGCATTTTCGAACATTCTAAACCAAATATATAAAAATGGGAGACGAATGTTAAATTTGCTAGACATGGGGGAGTTGTCTGCAAAGTTTTAGCTCTTATCTCTAACAAAAAATTAATTTTTAAAAAAATGACCGAATACGTTTCACAGCGAGAAAAAAATAAAAGGCAAGATAGAATTTTCTAGACATAAAGAAGTTGTTTACCGAGTTTTAGCTCTTATCTCTAACAAAAAATTAATTTTTAAAAAAATGACCGAATACGTTTCACAGCGAGAAAAAAATAAAAGGCAAGATAGAATTTTCTAGACATAAAGAAGTTGTCCACCAAGTGTCAGCTGTTACTTCTTCTCAATACTGATATAAAATAAAAATCTTTATTATTTATTTAACCTTTATTGTTTCATTAAACTTCATTTATTTTATATTATAGTTTTATTCTTTTAGCTACTTGTAAAATAATCTAATTTTATATCATCATTTTACCGGATTATTCTTCAGTACATCGATTGTGTATCTAAAATAATATCATTATCCTTATTCTGTTTTTTCCAAAATTCTTTTAAATATCTTTTTTGGTTACATTACTTTATACTTTTTACTTTTATTTTTTAATTTCAAAAAAAATTTGGTGATTGTTCTATTCTGTTACAATGTGCATTATCATATTCTAATGAATTATTCATTACATACATTTAAAAAAACTTGTTAAAAATGAAATTAAAAAATTATGTTTATTATTACGCTGTGAATGTGTCAACAGCGGTCATGCCTGTATCTGTATCCCATATTTGCCACAACCTTTCTGTATCTGCATTTGTGTATTTCGGTTTCAGCTGATACATTTGATTTGGCGTGTAATTTGTTCCAGTTAATGGATTAATTGGGAGATCTTCATGCGGTGTGTTATTATTGTACTCCCAAATAAAGGCAGGAATAGCCTGAATGCTTTGGCAGCGCTCCAATGTCGGCCAGAATCTCTCAATCTTCCCATTTTGGTAGGGAGAATGAGAGTCTGTATGCCGCCATTGGACGCCCCAAAGATCAAGTAGATCTTGAAAGGCGCCCCTATTTTCTGAACCGTTGTCGGTCCAGAAACAATAAGGGGCGCCAAATTCAATGAAGGCGGAAGCCGCAAAGTTCGCTGTCGTCGCTGCCAGCATATCTGGTATTTGTATACACGCTAGGACTTTGCGGCTAAAATCGTCGATTATGCCATAAATATACTGGCCACGAACACCACTAAAATAATGAACATCTGCGTGCCAGATAAGATTGGGTGAAAGCGCCCAATATCTTACTGCTGTTTCTGGCCCGGCATGCTCTAATCGCGTCTTGGTGAAATGATTTTCTTTGAAGTATCTGCGTACTTCTCTATAAGATACATCAATTTGGTGTAATTTCAAACTTTTCCATTGTTTTGTTTGACCACAGGGAAAGGCCCAGTGGTCATGTATCACAGCAAGAGCTTTGATTTGGTCGTAGGGATTGACCCTACGACCTTTCTTGCCTTTAGGCAATGGGATATTCTGTAAGCTAAATTGATTTTGTAAAAAAGATTTTGAAACATCTAAATATTTGAAATCATTTGATTGAAGGGTTGGGGCGATGGGAACATGGGTGCAAGCTTCTTCCCATGTCATTTTACCTTCTTCAATCTGATTGGAAATACCAATTAGGTAAATTCGATCGACATACCCTTTGTAAGGATTCATTCTAATGAAGTACGTTAACAATCAAAATATTCTATAAGTGTCTAGTATGGAATTCAAAAGAATAAAGAAAATGATAAGGTAAATAAACGTATTATGAAATAATTTATAATTAAAATCAAAAAAAGAAAAAATAATAAGTAAAGTGACTGGAAATGAAAATGAAAATCAGTGTACAGTTTTATTTTTTTCTCGCTGTGAAACGTATTCGGTCATTTTTTTAAAAATTAATTTTTTGTTAGAGATAAGAGCTAAAACTCGGTAAACAACTTCTTTATGTCTAGAAAATTCTATCTTGCCTTTTATTTTTTTCTCGCTGTGAAACGTATTCGGTCATTTTTTTAAAAATTAATTTTTTGTTAGAGATAAGAGCTAAAACTTTGCAGACAACTCCCCCATGTCTAGCAAATTTAACATTCGTCTCCCATTTTTATATATTTGGTTTAGAATGTTCGAAAATGCGTAATATGGTCATTAATATTAATTGAAAAGAACCTTGAATTAATTCAATCTGATCTCACAAAATATTTTAAATTACAAACTTTGTAGTTTGAATAGATAATTAGTATTAAACTCAAATAACTAGTTTATTTTTGAATAAAAATTATTTGAATTTATTCAATTTTGTGAATTTTCCTTCAAAAATCAAGTTTAAATATCTTATTTGCCATATAATTATAAATACAATGAAACATATTCGAAATTGAAAAGAATGACTTTTTCTGTTCTTTCAATCATTCAATTTGAATTTTGCAATATTGGATTTCTCATTAAATAGCTATTAAAAACAACAAGCAATTTAACTTACATTCAAATTTATTTGTGTTATATTCAATCTTCTCAAAACTTATAATTTTCGGCTATAGCATGATTATATGCTATATAATATAATAAACATATAATAGTATCATTCTTTCAATTATTTGAAGAGAAAACCGAAAAAATCTATTTTCGGTCTATAACACCATAAACTACGTAGTGAAGTTGAAGAGTGAAAGGGTCTCCTAAATAGTCATGTGATTTTATCCCAAGCATATGGGGATTCTAAATTTTTGTCCCTATCGTTATCCCAATTGAATTTTTTTTTGGAATTTAAAAATTTTTTTTCTCCATGTAAACTTAAATTTTAATTTTTACCACTAAAATGCAATATTTCAACAAATTAATGAGTAATAATATTTTAATTTATAATAATTATTATAAATCTCCTCAATTTAATGTAATTATTGTATTAATTTTTGTTGAAAATATAAAATCTTCAAGTAAATGATGTGAATTTAATATTTTTAGAATGTTGTTTAATTGTACTATATTATGCATGTAAAATTTTGTTACAATACATTTTATATGGGATCCCCATTGCCCAATTGAGAGAAAATTGAGAGGTGGGATTGGGCTAGCCCAATTCAAAATATCCCAGGTGGAAATAAAAAAATTAACAATTCAACATAAAAAAGCATCTTAAATAATAATGATAAAAAGAAATTTTGTATGAATTTCAATCAAATTTGTTTTTATTCAACTTAAGAAATCACTTCATTAATGAAAGAAGTCGGGTTCACAACATATCCCGATCTTGAAACGAAACAACATGTTTTTTTGATGCCCTAAACGGGGGGGGGGGTCGCCAGCAAAAAAAAAGATGTCAAAATTTATCCCAAAAATTTAAAAAAAATCGAAGAAAGTGCATCCCAGGGATTATAAAATTTAAGTTTTCACATCTCTACTCCTAAATATCCACTTATATTTTAGCATATTCTTGAAGATATCAAAAATTAAAATGCTTTCTATTTATTAAAATTCCAAACTTAATTTTTAAAATTATATATTTATAAATAAAATAAAAAATAAAGATAAAAAGAATTAGATAAATACGTTGTAAACTAAATGATCAGCTTGTTCTTTGGAAATAATCACATTATCCATCTCGAAGAACAGAGAGTTCAATATCGATGTTAACTGGTATTCTTCGTTCTTGATTCTTGAGTTCCTAAGAAGTAAACCCGTGAATCGAGCATCATTGACAACTTCGAAGATTTGTTTGCCAAACTTGTTTCCGATGGCATCGAAACATCCTAATCCATTCGGTTGTTCCGTGAACAAGTTAATAGCAAATTCGATAAGAACTTGTGGAGCACCGACCTTCAAGAAAACAAGAAGAATTGCAGAGAGATTGACTAAATTAGCACCGTAATCAAGGCGTGAGATTTCTTCGGATTTAGATGGTTCTTTGATAACTCTGAATGCCGAAATGATCTGTTCATCTGACTTAGTTGTTGCAAGTTTCTCTAATGCTTGTGTCAAGCCGTACTTAGCGTAACATGCCAAGATAGCTGCAGCAGACAGACTTGGTTGTTGTTGCAATGGAAGTGCTGTACATGTCTCGAGATATTCAACAAGAGAACTGTTGATGTATTGTGTAATTCCTTGTGTTGTTCCTTGGTGATCTGAATATTGTTTCAGAGCAGAAACAACTAAATCTCCACATGCTGCGTTGTTGTCTCGAGCACCTAATGCGATGCCAATGA